AACAAGACCAAAGTGAGGAGAGATGCCAAAGGGGTAAAGAGCTGAAAACACATAATTCAGCTGCCCTTACTAAAAAGCATCAGTTATGATATAAATCCATTGGATTAATCCTGCATAGAAGCCATGCCTGTGATTTACGAGCAAAAAGGGGAATCCTGTTCTAATGCCACAGCAGATGGAAATGGCAGCCTTATCATATCTACTACACACTGCGTAAGTCAACACTACCGAGGCTTTTTCATAGAGAAAAGGAATAACTGTGGCTGGTTTTCAGTCACAGTTCTGCTCTTGGTGAGTCTTAGAACAACCTTAATTGACAGGAGGGGAAAAAAAAAAAAATGAATGTATCTTGGCAGTGCATTGTTGCTCTTGTCAACTACGTACCTGGCCCCTTTTTTTCTGTGCAACGGTGGCTCTCTTTGCTTAAGTTACTGTAACAGGAGAACTAGATTTCCAAAAGCAGACTTATTTGAGCCAGTCTGAAAGTGATGTACCCCCTCCCCTAAAAAATAATTTCATACAATGAAGGGGTGTTCACTTGTTTTTATTCAAAACAAAACTCTTCAGTTGTGACCAGCTCCTGGTGCAGGATTTTATTTCACTTACAACCAGTGCTCTGTTAATCTGAAATTAAATGTAAAATGTGCAATAAATTATATTCAGCTGAAAAGTAGACCACGTTCCCTTTGCATCTGTAGGACACTCTTGAAAACAAACTCCTGAAAGCAAGGGTTGCAAGTGGTAAATGTAACTGCACCCTCTGTCATATCCTGCTGATTGACCTCTTACTTGCTTTATGTGTAACTAGTTGAACGGGGCAGAAATCTCCACCAGAAATTCCTTTTTCATGTCTTGTCACTGCATGAAGTATATGGTCAAGAGTGACAACCAGTTGGTAGTGACTAGGACGTGGCAGAACAGGCCCCAGAGGAGTACTGAGAATTAAGTTTTGCATAAGCAAGTGCAAAATAATGACAATGCATTTACTGCTAATTACAAAGAATCTTGGAACAGCCCTGTATCTATCAGAGTAATGACACTGAGGAGTGTTTTCATGAAAAATGTTTGCACAATAAAACAATTCTCATTTCTGACAGCTTCCTGAGGTATAGCTTCTGCTGTCATTGAAGTGTTTTCTTGCATATTCTTTACATTTAAATGTAGAAAAATAGCAACATGGTTCTAAAAACTGCTTCAGTAGTTCAGGATGTCCTGTGATAGTTCTACTCTTGAAAAATAACATATCTGAGAAGCAGAGTGCATTGTTCCTGCTCTAGCAGTTAAACCTGTACCAGGGTAGCATCTTTGGGTGCAAACTTTAAAATGCCATAGAAACATGGGATGACACATTTGTCTCTAACTGACCCAGGAAGTGCTTGAAACACCTTAATGAGGATCCAGGAACACACACTAGACTTGTCAGCCAGAGCCTTTAAACTGTGAATTCATGTGGAGATACAGGTTTAGGATTTACTTGTTAGTCTTCCCTTGTCTTTCTGTGTGTGCTCTCATCTTCAGCAGCCGTGTCCCAGGGTGGCTCAGCCAGCAAAAGGCTACGAGGAGCCAGAGCTCCAGGCACCAGTTCTGCTGTAAAAGCTGTCTAAACTTCCTCCAGTGCAGCTCAACCAGAGTGTCTGTACCTCCAAGCCAGGGACTGGACTCACACAGGTGCTTTCCTCTTCTGTGTTGTCATCAGAGAACTGACTCAGTTCTCCTGCCTTCCCCCCAGCACGTCGGAATTGTCTGTCTGTCTAATTGCAAAGAAGTTTGTGTGAGGGACAGATGAACCTTAACTTTGTACTTAGAATATTTCAATTTGTGACTCTCGTTGAAGTAAAATCCCTCACTTAATACTGACAGGCCTTGCCGTGTTCCCTGGCTAAACATAAAAAGTGCAGTTTGTTTCTCCCTGATAGATCAGCCCACCAAGGATTCAGACTCTTGATTTTCCCCTCCTTTCAAGTACTGCAAGTGCCCTTCCCCATCTGTGAGGCTGCTGCAGCAGGTTCTTCTCTGCAGCAGTTAAAGTGTGAGCTCCATTTTTGCTTCCCTGCAGCATTGCTGAATTGTGGCCACACAGTGAAGCCCACTGCCTGTCCATCACCTCCCTTGAAGCCAGGTATCGGGTCAGTCTCTCCTGCTGAATACTTATTCCAGCCCACCTTCTCCTTTCTTTCTTATTTTCTGTAAATCAGTGCAAAGTTTTAAAGAGACTGTAATAGCTACACTTGAGAAACCACTGCTTTCAACACCACAGTTTCTGCTCTATAAGGAGCTGCCATTTTACAGCTACAACTCCTCTGGGACTTCTGTTTATCACTCTACATAATAAAAAATTACCAATAGAATTAAAATAGAAGCTATAAGCAACCAGAATGTAACTTCTAATATGACCCAGTGCCATTTCCAGAGACTTGAGCCATTTTTTAAGTTTGCCGAGGTGTTAAAGCTGTTTCCGTGAATGCAGCTGGCAGAGCAGCAGTGCCTTGGGGGTCATACCAAGGCACCAGCATCCCTTTGGGGGTTGTGGGTCCTCCGCGCCGCCCCACAGCGGGGCAGTGGTGGGAGGGAAGGAGCTCTCCTCCAGCGCAGGGGTTTTGGTTTGGCTCTGGCTGAGCTTTGCGAGGCAGATGCAGCACAGCCCAGGGCATTGCCGAGGCTGCAGGGCCCTGGCTCTCAGGCAGGGGGGATGGGCACGGGGTCACCTTGGCCAGCGGTCTTGCCCAGCACAACTTGCCCTGCCCCACACCTGTCTCCAGGCTCTCCCCCCCAAAAGGACCCTGCCAGGGCCAGCACCCTGACCCTCACCAGCCTTCGCAGCGCAGCATTGCAGCTACCTTCAGCCTCCCCCCGCGCCAGGGCTCCACCACCACTTACCTTAGCGCAGGGGCTGGGCAAGGAGCATGCTACAGGGAGAGGTGGGGATGCCTATCGGCATGTGAAAGACACATTTGCAGCACTCCCCATCCATACCTGGCTTTGTCTGTCGTTTAGGGAAGAGTGCTCTAAGTGTCAGGTCTTGCTGCCACCTCGCACAACTGCTTTATGCACCAGTAAATCATAACAGCAGACTCCCGAGTTCAGAATAAAACAAAATCATTGTTCACTTGTTTCACATTTAAGAAAAAAACATGGTTCATTAAAACAGTTTTAATGAAAAAATAAAGTTCTGAATTAAACTATAATTATACATGGCTGAAAGTGATGAACTAAAAGAATGGAGATGTTACTGTTTTGTTTTTCTCTCTGGTGATATTGTAACGTGCTGGACTTGTCAGACACCATCTATTGGGATAGATTTGAAAAGGTAACAGAACAAGAGTCAGTCACATTGATTAGTATCGAACCTCTGTGAAAAAGAGCGAGTTTGTTTGGCAGTTCGCCATTTCTCCCAGAAAAGCTTTAGGAACGCATTCCATGGAGGTCCAGTTGAATTGTAGACACGCTGTAAACACAGAGATACCAATTTTCAGAGCAGGTCAAACCCTTAGGCAGCTCGCAGCTGGGATCTTCCAAAGCCTTTCTGTTTGCGGAGTGAAATGGCAGCGTTTGAAAACTTTGGTTATTTTTCTGGCTGCAAAGAACAGTCAGACAGCCATCAGGGGCAAGTCTTTGGCAAACTCCTCGGTGGTTCCACGTAGCTTCTGGAAGGCAGCACACCATGGTCATGGTCTTTAAGATTTTACAGAAGCTGGAGCTGGTTTTCAGAACCGAGTCGGTTGTTGCAGTGGAATAGGATTTTTGTAAAAGAGCAGGACAGAACAGTTGCACGTCGTGCAGCTCCATCATCCTGTCCTGGGCTGGCAGACCTCTCGCACCCCCGCGTCCCAGGGCACTGCAGCGTTGCACTGTCTGCCTGAAGCTTTGCCAGCCCCATGCCGCATGCCTGAAGGAGAGTACCTGACTCTGTGTACTGGAAAGATACTTGGTTGTCACCAGGATGCATCTCCCGATGAGCCACTGCTTGGATAAGGCGGTGGTCAAATGCCGTGTACCTGCAGGACTAACGTGGACAAATTCCTACCAGTCTGGACAGTCTCACTTCGGCGGCGGTACCGGCCAGCAACTCCCCTCCCTCATGGTCTCACCAAACAGAGCACGCACTGTTCATCAGGCATAACTTCAGAGAATTACCTCGAAACACAAACCGAATTTGTGCAACGCATATGGCTCACTCTGGGGATCAGGGAACAGTGCTGCCGTCTCAGCGGCCTTGTGCACGAGCCTCGACTCCCTGTCATGTTTCTCAACACATATCTCTCAGGCTGAGGCCCCACAATGTCCTGTTGACGGACTGCAGCGTTGGCGGGGGCCTCAGTGCTCTCCTGTCCTCCCCCGGACCAGATGGATCTTCATTGCACTTCATCTTGCTAGCTGCATAGCCTGCATTTGCTGTTATCTGTATAATTTGCAACCAATAGGTTAAAGATTCCATTTTGCTGATTACAAATCCAGTCTCAAAAAACAAACAGCGAAAACCAAAGTCAACTCAGCTGTAGTACTCGGATGGAAATGATCAAATCCCAAACCAGACCTGCCAGGTTCTAAGTTTACTGTGGCCCCTTTTACAGTCCACGTTTGAATTCTGGGCTAAGGAAAGGGAGAGTCATCGTCTTCTTAAAACAGCACCTTAGAGTTTAACAAAGGGCCGGGAAACGGAGCAAACGGTATTCCCCCATACACACATTTGAGCCGATCATGCAAAACAAAGTCACAAAAAATCACCATAAGAGGAGACCTTCTAGGAAGAGATCCGGTGTCACTAATCCCCAGCGCTGCCTGTCCAGAAAAAAGGTCACTCTCTTCCTTTGAACGCGCTGGTCCCTCGGCACAGGAGGAAGTCCTGTTTTCACCTGAATGATGCCAAATCATAGAACTCCCCTTCTGCCCGGGCCCGCTGAAGAGGTGGCAGATCGCGCAGAGGTCGGTATGCATTGACGCTCACTCCTACGGAGCCTTAGAATATCTAAGATTGATATATACGGACAAATGGGCAGGTATAATATTACATTAAAACACATGGCCATTTACTTTTCAGACTCTTCACACAGATTCCCTCTTCACACAGTTTCCTAGCACAGAGAAGGTTTGCAGTTTCCCGATATGATGAGAAAACGTACGTGGCAAAGGTATTATACATTCCCCAGACATCACCCAATTCAGAGTTGTAACCGGACAAAACCCCACCGAACCCAGAGAGCTTAGTCTGTCCCTCGAGCTAATCGGTATCTAGCAGCAGTTTTGACCAGCCTCTTCCAGCCCCGGCTGCCCACGACTTGGCGATTTCTCGTCCCTGTCACAGCCGGGCAGCCCGTCAGCCTGAGCAGCAGCAGTTCGGGGGAGCTGTCCCCGGCCCCCTGGCCGGCGCCCGCGGCTCACCCGCCCGCCCAAGCAGCGCCCCAGCACACGCCTCCCGCCCCTAGTCCAGAAAGCGCCTGCGCGAGCCCGTCCGGGAGCGGTTCGAGCGGCGAATGTCAAACTTGGAGTCCCGGCACTTCTGGCATATGTAGACCTCTGGGACGTTCGACTTGCGGATTTTGGCGCAGGAGAGGTGGATCCAGGTGTGGCACTCGTTACACTCGATCATCGGCCGCCCGGCAAAAGGCTTCATGCAGAAGCAAGTGACTAGGTCCCACGAGTCGTCGTCTGCAAAGAGAAGCAGCAAGCTACGTTTTTAACGGCCAATTCCCCTCACCCATGCCAGGAACTTACTCTGCTTTTGCACTGTATTAACTACCTAGGGTTCAAAGACGAGCACTTTGCTGCTTTTTCCAGGCATCTCTTGCACGGGAAGAGACGCTTGGCAGTACAAGAGGCCGTAATCCAGGAGAGGAGAACCAGCTGCTTTTATTAAGTCGCAGCTTTTCACTCAGTTTATCACAAAAGCAGCCAACCAACCCTCCCCTTCCTCCCAAAATCCAGCTGCTGCTTAACTCTGCCCGGGCAGCGCACCTCAATGTTATGCTACAAGTAAAGTACCAAATCAGCAACAGCACCGCAGCTTCCGCCTGGCTACTCCTCTTCCGCCAGCCAAGCCACCTACCCGAATCCACCATGATGTCCTCGTCGTCACCGGTGCCATCCTCATCCCGGAAGACCACCTGCTTGCCCTGCCGAATGACCGTTCGTTTGCCCACGCTCTGGATCTCCACCGTCTGCTCGGCCGTCACAGCAGGGTAGGAGACACTGGAGGGGGTGTCAGAGTCCCACACCGAGCAGTGCTCGGTCGCAGACTGGGGGTCGCCCTCGGATGAGGGGCTCATCGGTGTCTCTACATAAGAGTCCTCTGCCTCCAGCTCCAGCAGCTTCTCCTCGTAGTCCTCCTCTGCAGACACCTCTGTTTCCCTCCTCTTCAGCTTTTTCTTCTTCCTGATTTTATCGATTTGCTTTCGCTCTGGCAAGAAGTTGCCGGGTTTTGCCCGCTGGAACAGGGAACCGTACGGTTTTGCTCGCTTAAGCTGACTAAAGTTCTTTCTGTTCTTGGCAGGCAAGGAAACAGAAGAGGGGATGTCATTGAACCGGGGGTCCCAGCTATCGCTGTCAATTGTGCCTCCGGTGCTGTTGGGAGGGCTCGGGCTGTTCCTCAGTGGCGTTTCCTGGAAAAGGTCGAAAAAGCGGATAAAAGCCTTAATTTGGAGCCGACTCGTGTGCGGCGCCGAGGCGGTGCACCCTTCCCCCCGAGGCGCTGCCTCGCACAGCCGCTCTCGCCCAAGCTCTGGCCCCGCTCTCCCCGCCCGGTTCCCCGCGCTGCCGCGGGAGCTCCCGCCGGGCCGAGCCGCCGCCCGGAGCTGCCCAGGCCCCGGAAGGGCCGAGGGAGCGATTCCGGGAGCCGCGACTCTCTTCACCCCGCCCCAAAAGCGGCCGAAAGCCCTCCCAGCTGCCGGAGTTCCCCCTTTTGTCTGAGGGACGCGGCGCGGAGGCGCAAGCCCCTCGCAACGGCCGGCAGCACAAAAACGCCCCACGCCCGGTGCCCCGCGCCCGGTGCCCGCTCACCTCCTGCGGGTACGGGATGTAGCCGGCGTAGGCCAGGACGAAGGTGCAGAACTTGTTGAAGTCTTCCACGGTCCGGTGCCGCCGGGAGGCGGGGGAGAAGTCCTGTGGGGGACGGGGAGGGGGTCGGCGGCGGCCGGGCCGGGCCGGGCCGTGCCGGGGGGGGAGGCGCCGCCGCCGCTCCCCGCAGCCGGGCCCCGCCCGCCGCCGCTCCCCGCGCCGCCCCACCCCCACCCCCCGCGGCGGCGGCAGCCGGGCAGCGCCGCCGCCACCGTCCCCGTGTGCCCCCCTTCCCGCCCCACACCCCCGGGCTCGGTACCAGGCCCTCAGGCGGCCCCCCCCGCCCCCCGGCGGCAACACACGGCGGGGCGCGCAGCCGCCATGCCTCGCCCCGGCCCTCCGGCGCTCGGGCGGTACAAGATGGCCCCGCGGCGGGGCGGCGGCGGGGAGCGGGTACCGAGTACCAGGTACCGGCGGCCGGGCCGGGCCGGGCCGGGCCGGGCCGGGCGGCGGCGGGAGACGCCCCCCCCCCCCCTTCTCCCCCCGGGACCCCGGCTTACCTCCGGGGCGAACGGGGAGGCACAGGAGTCGGAGTCCATGTCCCGGCGCGGGAAGCGGAGGCGGCGGCAACGGCGGCGGCACCCGGGCAGCGCCGACACCCGCGAACCGCTCGGTACCGGCGGGAGGCGGCGAAGGGGCGGCCGCCCGCGCAGGGGGTGCCGGGAACAGTAGTCCGCCCGCGTGGGGGGTACCGGGAACGGTAGTCCGCACTCTTGGGGGGTGCCGGGAGCCGTAGTCCGCCCGCGCGGGGGCTGCCGGGAGCCGTAGTCCGGGCATGCGCGGGAGGGCGGGGCTGGGCCGGGGCGGTGGCAGTGGGGAGCGGAACGGAGCGTGGAGGTGAGCCCGGGGCGCGGAGTGGGAGGCGCGGGGGGCACTGGGGAGTGGAGCGGACGGTCCGGGAGGGGGGGGCTCGGGCTCGGGCTCGGGCTCCGCCGCAGGGCTGCGGTAGGCCCCGGGGGGACCTCTCGGTTTAGCGCGCCGCCGCCCCCGCCCGCTGTGACCGGCCCGGCCGCGGGCGGGGCCCCCGAGGCGGCGCTCGGCACAAAGCGGGGCCCCGAGAGGAGCCCGAGGCAGCGGCCCGGCCCCGGGGACCCGCCCCCCGCTGCCCGGGGCTCCCGCCGTGGGCAAGAGCCCTCTGTCGCGGCCCCGCGTGCCTTGGCGAGGGTTACGCGCGTCGCGCAGCTCCGCCGCATCCCACAAGGCTGGAAACGCCGCGAATTTAGCGAAAAATTTCGTTTTCTCTTGCGGTATCTATCTCCCCGGGAGCGGGGCCGGGTGGGACGGCGGCCGCCGCGCTTTCGGCCGGGACACAGAAGGGCTCCGGGCTTCCGCGGCCGAGCCTCGTCGTCGGTGACAGGCAGAGGGGTTCTCTCCCGGGAGCACCCCCCCGGCACCTCGCTTTTGAGGAAGACCCCGCCGTGCTTCTCCAACAGCGCGGGGGCCACTCCTTCCGGGCAGCCCGTCGAGGGACGAGGCGCCCAGGCGCAGAGCTGGCGGGTGTGCAGAGCTCAGCCCGGCGCCTCTGAGTCCGCCTTAATCCCGGGGAACTTCAACACGGGCTCCTTAGAAATATAATTAGACTGAGCAGGGAGGGAGGTTGGCAGCGCCAGCATGTTATGCAACTGCTGCTCCCCTGTGACGGGGGAAGGAGGATGTTTTTTCAAGGGCTGTTTAGTTTATCCCACTCTCAGGCCAGAGGACGTTTCTCCCTGCGCTAACCCACCTCTTTCTCTCTTTCTTTTTGCATTTTGTTCTCTCTCTGCCCTGCAAGCTGCTCTCAGGGTCGGATCCGGCAGGGCGTGACACAGCCTGTGCTCTCCCGCGGGCGCGGCATGGCGGCGAGCACGGGCGGCGGGACGGCGGCGGCGGCAGGGGAGCCGGCGCACGCGGTGTCGCTGCTGCGGGGGCTGAGCGCGCTGCGAGCGGAGCGGAGCCTCTTGGATGTGACGGTGGTGGCGGGCGGCCGGGAGTTCGGGGCGCACCGCGCCGTCCTGGCCGCCGCCTCCGGCTACTTCCGCGCCATGTTCGGCGGGGCGCTGCGGGAGGCACGGGCCGAGCGGGTACGGCTGCACGGCGTGGAGCCCGAGTGCCTGGCACGCCTCCTCGACTTCGCCTACACCGGACGGGTGGGCGGGCTGGGCCCCGACATCGCCGAGCGCCTGCTGCGCGCCGCCGACCTGCTGCAGTTCCCCGCCGTCAAGGAGGCCTGCGGCGCCTGGCTGGCGCGCCAGCTGGAGCCCGCCAACGCCCTGGACATGCAGGACTTTGCCGAGGCCTTCGCCTGCCCGGCGCTGGCGGCCGCGGCCCACCGCTTCGTCCTGCGGCACGTGGGCGAGCTGGGAGCCCAGCTGGAGCGGCTGCCGTTGCCGCGCCTGCTCTCCTACCTGCGGGACGACGGGCTCTGCGTCCCCAAGGAGGAGGCTGCCTTCCAGCTGGCGCTGCGCTGGGTGCGTGCCGACCCCGCCGCTCGCGCCCCGCTGCTGCCCCAGCTCCTGGCCCATGTCCGCCTGCCCTTCGTGCGCCGCTTCTACCTGCTGGCCCACGTGGAGGGCGAGCCGCTGGTGGCCCGCTGCCCGCCCTGCCTGCGCCTGCTGCGCGAGGCCCGCGACTTCCAGGCCGCCCGCCTCGACCGCCACGACCGGGGGCCCTGCGCCCGCATGCGGCCCCGGCCCTCCACCGGCCTGGCTGAGATCCTCGTCCTCGTCGGTGGCTGCGACCGCGACTGCGACGAGCTCGTCACCGTTGACTGCTACAACCCGCGCACCGGCCACTGGCGCTACCTGGCTGAGTTCCCCGAGCACCTGGGTGGGGGCTACAGCGTCGCCGCGCTGGGCAACGACATCTATGTCACTGGTAAGGCGCGCGGGGCACGGAAGCAGCAGTGTTGAGAATCCGTGGGCTCTAGCAGCGAGGCTTAGCTTTCCTCGGGGTAGCAGGGTTTGAAACCCTGCTCGGGCTCAGCACGACTGCAGCCCGAAGGCAGGCATGGGGACTCCTGGAGTCAGTGCTGGATTTAGCAGCTGGTCTCAGTCCAGGAGGTGTTTTGTCATGACTAACACGCCTGGGCAGAAGTCACAGATCTTGCGCTGGTAGAACTTTCTAACCGCTCGCTCTGCAGGACAGGAGTGGCTTGGGAGGGTTTTGAATTTCTGGCTGCGAAAAAGGTGTTTGTGTTTGGAGCCCCATGAATCACAAGCCAAGAGCGTGCTCGAGGCAGATGCATGTCAGAAAGCCCCAGGTTCCTCAGCCAGCCAGCGCCTCTGAGTCACAGCACCTTCCTCAGCACGAATCCTGCCTCCTCACAGTCCGCTGGGGCTATAATTACTTCTGTCAAGGTGACACAGATGTGTAAATTTGGCTGTTAATCTGTATGTAGATGCCTCCTTTGAACCAGATCCCCATAGCTCGAGAGACAGCCCTGCAGTGGCCCTAACAAACCAAGGCCTGGGAAACCAGGCGCTACGGAACAGCTTGTTCCGGGTGTGCAGGACGGGCTGACAGAGATTTGAAGGGCAGGTCAAAATGCAGGTAAACAGAAAACTCTCTGTCTCTAGTCACAAGCAGAAAGCAAGTCTCTGCTTTAAGTGCAGAGTTGTACAAGTGATGGGCTCCACACAGCTCATTTGTACGGATGTCCTTGCATCCCGTGGGAGCTTTCCAGAGCAATCCCAGGCGGGTCTGGGGGTGCTGATACTGCTGGGAGCCCCGTGCTTCAGCAAGGCCGCTGCTGGCAGGGATCTTGGGTCGTCCTGCACAGTGTCAGCGTCGTAGCACGGGCAGCCGGGTGGGTTGGAAGGTTTCTGTGCTGCCGGGTGTAACGCTGCCGTGGCAGCTGGGCGCTGGTGTTAGTCTCTGCTACATGACAGCAGCTTCTGGATAGCGATGGAGTGGGGGTTGCAAAATGGGCAAGAAAATAGTTATTTGGAAGGATGGAGGTAGTCAAACCTGGGAGACTTGTTTTGATCTGTGGCTGGGTACGGGCTGGGAATGACATGGGAGAAATCCTTCCTGGCTTGCTGGGAAAGAAACAGGGTAAAACTTTGGTTAAAATCCTCACAGCGCACACTGCTGTGGTCCCACAGTACTGAAATATTTTCAGAATGTACAGCCCTGGGAAGCAGAAAAGTGCATGTGGGTATTAAGAAGGTGTAGCTGGAAGATGTAACAATCCCAGCCCGAGCCAAGCCCTCTCCTCCATTGCCCTGTAGTATGTCCCTTTGCGAAACCACCCTCTGAAACGTGGCGTGCTGTGCTGCAGGGGGATCGGACGGCTCGAGGCTGTACGACTGTGTCTGGCGGTACAATTCCAGCGTGAACGAGTGGACGGAGGTGTCTCCCATGCTGAAAGCCAGAGAATACCACAGCTCCACGGTCCTGGACGGGCTGCTGTACGTGATCGCCTCCGACAGCACGGAGCGCTACGACCACTCAGTGGACGGCTGGGAGGCCCTGCAGCCCATGCTCTACCCCATGGACAACTGCTCCACCACCTCGTGCCGCGGCAAGCTGTTTGCCATAGGCTCTCTGGCTGGCAAGGAGTCCATGGTCATGCAGTGCTACGACCCCGACAGCGACCTCTGGTCCCTGGTCAACTGCGGCCACCTGCCTCCCTGGTCCTTCGCCCCAAAGACCGTCACTCTCAACGGCCTCATGTACTTCATCAGGTGAGTAGCGGGAGCTCCCTCCCCACGGGGCAAGCCCAGGGTTTCCCGGGGAAGGCATGAGGGTTTTGGGGTGGTTGTAGGCACATGCTGCCTTGGGAAAGCACAGCAATGCTTCTTCTGATGGTGCGACTGGGTCTGTAAACCACCACGCCTATTTCCTTTACTTCTGGTATAAGTAGACCTCAAAGAACTATACTTAAAATTCTGTAAAAATGTCTGAGTCTAAATCCAAGGGCTGAGGAATAGCCAGGTATAAATCTGGCTGAAGGCAGCAGCGCTGCTTGGAAATAGGCTTCTCAGTTTTCTTGGCTTCTGGTTCAACGCCCCTTGTTGCTATAAATAAGCAAGTAAGCTCCAAGAAAACGTTAAACCGTAGTGCAGGAGGGAACATCTTCCATCTCAGCGGAGATAAGAGGACTGAAGATGAAATGATTGGTCACTATTTTTAAGCGCCTTTCCAAACTGGGACTTAATTACCCATCTGAAGCTGTCCTGGTGGCGCAAATACTTTGGTTATCCACTTAATTAAAAATAAACTGAAAGGCATGCTAGCGCTGAAGCATTTTGTCTTGTGTTGACTTGGAGCAAACTTAGACTTCTGTGATGGCCTCCAGACGCTCTTCTTTTTTTAATCTCCTCTTGGCTTTGCATAAAGCAGCAACTTTGACCCAGGACCTTTTATTTGATTCATTTGGGTTCGTTTGAGTGTCTTGGTTCCTGGCAGTTATTTGCAGGTAGCAGTTTGAGTCACTTGGTTTTCAGTAAATACTGGCAGGAGTGTTCTAGCTATATCAGCTTCTGGTCACAAGCTGATTCTATAGGTTTTCCTTTTTCCATTTTGAAGTACTGATGATTGACACTTCAGGATTTCTGATCACTTATGCAACTTGCGGGAGTTAATGAGGTTATTGGGGTCAGGTTTTTCTCCCTTTGTTTCATGAGCTGCATGTGGGCTGCTGCTCTATATAAAGCTGTAAAATAATCTTTGAAGGACAGAGGAATAGGTTATGAATAAAAGTCACAAACTCATTTTTTGGTTAGTTTTAAATAGCTCAGCCTAAAGCCTCCGACTGACGATACCCTCTAGTGGGACTAGTTTTAGAACTATAAATATGGCACAGCAGCGAGGCTTAGCTCTTCAGCTGCATCCTTCTTGAGCTAACCCCAAGATGGGGGAGGAGGTCCTGGGCTGACTGTCACCAGAGCCTGGAACTGCGTGGTGAGAGCTTTGCCCCTCATTTCCCTTCCAGTCCATTGGGGTTTTCGGCTTCTTCCTTGGAAGTATTTGTCTCTCCTGCTGCCATTAGTTACGGGAAGCACTGTGAACAGCAGCACTTCATCCAGGTACAGATGGCTTGGCAAAAGCATTTAGCTCCCCAGCGCTGGGACCCAAGGCAGGTATCAGCTCTTGGTTCTGAGTAAGACAGGTTGGTCTTAGTGCAGCTCCACGGGGCTTACATGTGCTCCCATTGAAGATATTTCATTCAGGCGAAAATCAGTTTAGTTCCAGGTACATCACAAGGGTAACTCAAACCAAAGAAACTGGTTTTCTGGTGTGTACCATATTGGGTACCTTAGGAACATTATTCAGTGTAGCCAGCAAGTCCTGTGGCACGCACCTCGGCTTCACCTCAGGTTTGGCAGACAGATTCCTGAGGTAGTGGTTTGCTAAACACACCTGCTGTTGTAGCTGCGTGTTTATTTGCGCTCCCTCGCCTGCTCAGATTCATGTCAGCAATCAACAGCAACAGCTTGTCACCCGCACAATGCATGGCAATGTGTGATGTCATGGTATAGATCCAAAGACAATAAAACATTCCTTGCAGCCCTCTGGGTCTGTCTGTAACAGGGGTGGCTCAGAGTGACCGACAGAACTTCTCTGGCTGCCCCGACCATGTCCTCTGCGTGTTCCTGCCTCGCAGCCACCCCTCGCCTGCCGTCTCGCGAGCAGAGCGGGTGACAGAAGCCTTGGGGGGTTACGCTGCGCCCACCAGCTCTTCTCTCACAGTCCTCCAGCCCATCTAAATTTGGCGTCAGCGAAAACCTCAAGCAATAGGGATGCCATTACTTTGAAGTGAATGGAGGTTTAAGCTTCGCCAGGACATCAGTAATTTTTCTTCCAGACCCTGAAGCACTTGGCACCAAAGCCAGATTGGTCTGTGAAATGCAGGCTTGCAGAAAGTTAGTCTGTGAACACACCTACCAAGGTGCAGACGTTAAAAAAAAAAAAGACTGGATTGAAGAAAGCGCTCGGGCTTGCGCAGCGATTTCCACTCCAGCAGTGGTGTAGCTGCACGCTGGACTCCCAGTCTGGAGCAGCTCACCCCGCTGCCTCGGGTGGAGCGACCGACTTAGGGAGGTGGAAAACAGCGCATGCTGTTGGCTCGCTCTGTCTCCAGTCACCTCGTCTGCCTAGGTAGCATCCCAAAACTCGGTGTACACCAGAAAGAATAAAGCGCATTGCTTTGCCTGTCGAGAAGCTCGGAAGGGGCGTTTGGGCCCTTTGGGAGTAGGTCACTGGCACTGAGAACGAGACGCTCCTGCACGATGTCTGTGCCAGCCTGCTCCGTGGGTAGGGGCCAGCAGAGACGTCCAGGCGTTTTCTGGGGTTGAACATCACTGCTGGTGCAGGAGAAGCCTGGGCTGGGGGCTGCATTGAGACCTGCGCCGTCATACAGGAACCCTTTGGTCTCCGATCTGTGTAGCGGGACTGGAGCAGAAGTGCTCACGGTGGCATTTCAGGCTGTTGAACTGGGGCTTCAGAAGGCAGAAGGTTTTTAGAATGCAGAGGAGTAATTTTGTGTTATCTCCCACAGAGACGACTCAGCTGAAGTGGATGTTTACAATCCAGCAAAGAATGAATGGGATAAAATCCCTGCCATGCTTCAGGTAGGACGCTTACCAACCTACTGGATGCTTATATCAGTCTTAAAAATTGGCTTAATTTACCTTTGGAAAACAAGGTGCTCTTTAGATTATAAACCTTTGCACATGGAGTGCATTTCAGCCTATCACAGTCACCTGGAAGGAAATCTCCTGGACTGTGCTGGTGTAGCCGGGTGCTCAGCCCAGCACATGGGAGCTGAGCGAAGCCCTAAAGCTCCATCTCCCCCGGTGGTGGGGCAGCGCTGGCTCAGAGCCCGGGTCAGCAGCTGGTGGGTGCTGAGCCCTGTCAGGGCGAGCAGTTGCAGGACAGTGCCCGACACCTTTATCATCCGCCTAGTTGGGCCAAACCCTCCTTTCTCACCGTTGTGTTTATTTATTTTTAAATTGTAGGTGCATGTTGGGGGGAGCGTGGCTGTGCTCGGCGGGAAGCTCTACGTCTCCGGTGGCTACGATAACACGTTTGAACTCTCGGACGTCCTGGAAGCCTACGACCCCGAGACACGAACGTGGAGCGTGGTGGGCCGACTCCCCGAGCCCATCTTCTGGCATGGCAGCGTCAGCATATTCCGGCAGTTTATGCCAGAAACCACGCAGGAGGATGACAGCATCACGCTCGACAACACCATCAACTTGAACAGGCAGCAGCAAAACCTTCACAACCAGAACCTCAACGAGCTTCGTTAGCGGGGGAAGGCGTTATCCCCCGGCTCGAGGCGAGTTCGTTATCCAGAACCAGTGTTGCTTTGAGAGAAGACAGAGGCAAACGGGTGCTTGGAAAAAAAAAATGTACTGATCATAGAGGGAGTGAAAACTCTGAAAGCTTGACGTGCTGCTGCGGAGCCGTGGCCGGCAAACAGCGAGGCCTCGCTGCGGCCTACCTCGGCCCTTCTCGGGCGCGGGAGGAGGCGGCGCGCGGCCCCCAGGGGGGACCCGAACTCTGAGGAGAGCAGGCGCGTCGAACGTCACCACCGCACCACAGCTTACAGCCTTTCACCGGGAGCTCCTTCACCCCGTAACACCTCGTTTGCCTCCAAACTCCTTTCTTTGCTTTCTTTTTTGGGAGGGCTCTGTCTGGTGGGACGGTGGTCTGGACCCCCACCTCTGTTCTGTGCCTCGGAGGAAGACGGACCTCCTGCACACGTCTTCCTCTGCATGGTTAGAGGGGGGAGAGGCCTTCCCACGAGGGCTGGAGGTCTGTTAGTGGTGAGAGGTGAACATGAGAACGTGGCCCTTCCTGCCCTGTCGCCATGGTCCTTGGCTCCCGTTCATGCCTTCAGAAGGAACAGACGTCCCGTAGCAGGGATCTCGCTTTGTCTAACTTCAGCTCTGCCTGTATTTTGCTGGGGCTTTTTTTAAGTTGCAGCATTTAAACTTCTGTAGGTGTTTTCCAGCCCTTCCTAGCAGAGGAAGTTTTTCCTTCTAAGAAGAAACACCTTTCATCTTTTAACTGCATTCGCACAGCTAGACTGTTTTTGTTTCTGACCACCCCTGCGGCATCCTCCTTTAGGGGAGGGGAGAAGCCAGCAGCCCTTGGCTGGCCCGAGGAGCGATTCCTGGGGCTGGCTGCTGCTGCCCTCGCGGGGAGGAGCCGTTCTCCCTCCCGCTGGCACCGGGCTCCTTGGTAGCAGGGCTGAACTACACAGCAAAAACTGCTGCTTGTGGCGAGGGCTGTTTGCTGTCGCTTCTCCTGCGCTGAGCTCTCAGCCGGCGTGCTGGGTTGGGCAGATCGGCCCCATGCAGCAAGGGCAAGCTTTTGTTTCTTCACCACTTTAAAGGAGCTAAGTTGGCATTGTACTATTTTAGAAAAAACAAGAAAAAAAAGTACTGGGAAAGGTGAGTGCAGCTTCCTCAAGGGATTCACTGCATGCTTGCAGAACTGCTGGCAGTGTTTAGGTACGTTGATGCAGAATTGCTTTCAAATGCATCACTTTGTGTGAAGGAACCCACCGGACCTTCGGAGGGGTCTCGTGCCTGTCACGCCTCTGGTTGCAGGAGCTCTTGGGATTTGGGCAATTGGAAAATGCTGCTGAGGTGTTTTGGCAAAGGTTGTAGGAGTTAGCCGGAGTGTTGCAGATTGAGAGGTAGTTATTTTAGGGTTTTTTTTTTTCTTCTTTTTGTTTGGGGTTTGCTGGGTTTTTTTGCCTGTGTAAGATTTGCCTTCATACTCGCCCGAGTGACCTAGCTAGCTTGGGCTGTATTTCCTCTATCTACCTTAGCTGAAGAGGAGCTGTGTGCAGTTTACTCGCGGAACATTTCTTGAACAAGCAAATGGCTAAAACTGGTACAGCTCGCCCAAAAACGAGCGTTGCACCTTTGGGAAAACTGTAAAGCATGGTAACGGCTGAAGCGTTGGCTGGATGTGTTCGCTTTTTCCATCTTTCGTTTTTAACCAATAGGAAACAAAATTTGCATTTCAACTTAATTCAGAGATGGGAAGCCTGTCTACTTGACTGCAGGCCTCCTGGCTTGCCCTTGGATTGAGTAGTGTTGGAGCCCCATCTCCACATCAGCTCTTCACAGCTTTAAAAATATCTGGTTTGCCTTGAATGCTGTTTTATGCCTTGCTCCTCAGCTGTGAACTTGGGAAAGCCCTTCACAAGATCTGGGCTGTTCTCCAAGTCTGAAACTGACAGTGCCTTGAACCTGCCGCGTGCGGGATTGCGGAGGGGCCCTGCCCAGCCGCGGCAGCAACTCGGTTTAAAACCCTCCCTGGCGCTGCTGGGGTGCGGTGGGGCCCCCCTTGGGCGGAGGAGCCGGGGGGGAGGGGGGGGAATGCGCGGGGGCCCGTGATTTGGGGTGGCTCTTTTGTTCCTGGGAGTAACAGCCGCATCCCGCTGTGCCGACCCGCGAGGCCAAAGCAGCCCATGCCCCGGGGAGAGCCGGCGCGCGCCGCGCAGCTGAACTCGCGTTGCAGACTGAAGTATTTCTGCTGACCTATAAATAGTACACACACCCCGTCTCAGACTGTAGTGCTCGCTGCTGGATCTGCCACCCCCAAACTCCCCAACCGCTGAACAGTTACGGATCTGTATTTATTTTTTGTAAAATTCATTGTGTCCAAATCTCTGAGTACAGTTTAAATACCGTCCTTTGAAACAAAGGCATTTTACATTTACAGATAATGTATTTTTATTCTCCTAGTTTGTTTTTAAATTTACTTGCAGCAGTCAAGTTAAATAAAATATGTTACAGAAATCTCGTCTTTGAGGGGAAGATTACTGGAGTGAGTTTTTACTGTGAAGTTTCTCATTCTAGGCCCGAGGTGCACTTAAACCAGAGACTTTCTGCCTTCTCAGTGAGTAAAAGAGGGAAAGGGGAGAGAGCAGGGCTGCGATTTTCGGGGCATGTGGGCACACTTTCCCCACCCTGGGAATACTTGGGAAAGGGTTCTCAATGTCACGGCAACCTCAGATTGTGTTATTTCAGACAGATATAAATCTCCACACTTACAAACAGGAGCTCAGAGCATTGTCCAGCTCCTTGAGATAATGTATTTCAAGTTAAGTAACAGCTGAATTATCTCAGTGGTGAGAAGTCCCACCTTTAATGTGGTAAAGAAACAGCAATTAATGGAAGCTTGACGAAACAAAGTAGAAATAAGGCACAAACTTTAGCAGGAGACAATCCTTTTGGCAAGCCTTTAAGAAAAGGGTCAGAGCAGAACTCTCTGGGAAGGTGAGCTTTAATTGAGAGCTTTTGGATGCAAATGCAGAACTGCCAGCAAGAGCCCTGGAGGAAAGGGGAGGCCAGCAACAGCCGTCCCTCCATCCGAAAACCAGAGCTCGTTAAAAAGTAATTCACAGTATTACACACAAGGAGTCACATCCCACCTCATTTGAGACATGTACATTTATTTAAGTAGCCAGTCTGAGCAGCTTCCTGTTTCTTCATTTCAGACACGATTATAACCTCATTGTACCTTCATTTCCCTGCAGCCTGGGGTGGGAGGTTGGTGGGGAAGGAGGGGAAGGGGCACAGTTCAAAAGAAAGGAACAGGCGTGGCAGAGTGTGGCTCCAGCCCAACACTTTATTGTGTTTTGGTAGGGAGGAGGCAGGCAGGCGGTCATGCTACGTTTCACAGTCTCCGGGAATGGTCGTCGTTATAATTAGTGACTGCTCAATCACATCCGCCGTAGAGAAGTTCTCATTTGAGCAGAGTCTCTGCACGGGGATCTCCTCGGGCAGGGAGCCACGGGACAGGGACTCCACGATCACCTCGGCTGAGCCCACCTCCAGCTCAGGGGGCGGCTGCAGTGCCACCACCACGGCCTTCTCGTCCTCGATGATCAGGTTCCGCAGCTTCCGCTGCCGGGGGTTGTAGTTCTCCACCCGGTCGTGAATCTCCATGTGGCGCCTCAAGTGAGCCTGCGAAAGGAAGGGGCAGGACGAGGGGGCAGGACGAGGGGCCGGGTGAGGGCCGGCTCCCCGGGCACGGCGGGCTGGGGTCGAGGAATGCCTCACCTGCCGCGTGAACTTGTAGCCGCACTCGGTGCACTCGAATTTCCTCACGCCCTTGTGCCGGCGGACGTGGACGCGCAACTGTTCAACAGCTGAGAAGGGAAGCGAGAGCCCATTGGCAGCGGCGCCCACCGGCACCTCGGAAAGGAGGGCAGCTTCTCACGAGCCATGCGAAAGCCCGAGGCCCTGGCCGTTACCTTTGAATGTTTTCCCGCAGATCTGGCAGAAGTGGGGCCGCCCCTCCTGGTGCCGGCTGGCGATGTGCCTCAGCAGGGGCCCCTTCTCCGTGAAGCGCTGGTCGCAGAACTCGCAGCTGAAGGGACGCTCCCCGGTGTGGGTCCGGTTGTGCTTGTCCAGGCTCGCTGCCGGTCCCGGAGGGAGAGAGCCGCGGGTCAGCGGCGCCACGTGCCGCCCGTCCCAGGGCTCCGGTACGGGCCACGCCGCAGCGGAGACCGCACACGCGCGGCGCTTCGGTCTGTGCCGGGCTGGTCAGGAAGGCTCAGCACAAGGAGCAGCCTGCCCAGCTAACCGTTACTGGGGGAAACTCCTCCATTTCTTCCTCTTTTGTGCCGCGAGGGTAATGGAGAGAACAGGACCATGCCTTCCTCAGCGTTAACACCCGCTCCCAAGAGGGGGAAGCGGGCAGAAGGCGGGTTTCGCAGCACGGCTGCTTGCTGGAGGTCCCGGAGCACGGCGCTACCAGCCCCCGCCGCGCGCCCGGGGGTACCTTGCGTCCTGAAGGTCTTGCCGCAGAGGTGGCACTGGAAGGGCTTCTCGCCGGTGTGCGTGCGCAGGTGCATGTTGAGGTTGGCTTTCTGTGTGAAGGCGTGGTGGCAGAACTCGCAAACGTAGGGCCGCTCGTTCCTGCAGGCAGGGGAAGCGTTACCTTCATCTCCGCCTTTGCCAGCTTCAGCCCCTCCGGTTAGCTGCTGCTCCTCACCCAAAGTTCTTCTAATTACATCCTACTTCAACCCCTCTCAAACTGAAGTATTCGGGAGGCCCACAAATGCTATTCTGCAGCCACAGGATCCCGAGCTGGAGCCTCCCACCCCTTGGGCATTATAACCAGCCCAGGAAACAGAACGCTAAGGATGAGGGTGAAGAACAGCCACTGGCGCACACTCGCCACTTCAAGAATACAAATTAGCCGGGCTGATGAGCTTCAGTCATCGCCTGTGTTGCTACAGTGGTACGCTCAGAGAAGTGCCACCAGCCTGCACTTCCTCTGGAAGAGAGAAAAGCAGAATGCTGCTTGGCTCCCTCACCAGATTTCTGGCAGAAGTTTCAGCCCAGCACCTCAGGAAGGGGGTGCTGGCCGCCCTCCAGGCAGCTCCTCTCCCCAGCACCACCCAGCCAGGCCCTCGGGGGAGGAAGCGCAGCCAGGAGAGCCAGGGTGACATGGGGGGAGGACGTGAGTCGCATCATACCTGTGCTTGGCCTTGATGTGCATCTGCAGGCCATTGCGACTCGAGGCCCTGTGCCCGCACTCCTCGCAGACAAACAGCTTCTCTCCCCGGTGCTTGAAGGCCTCGTGCAGGCGCAGCTCTGTCCGAGACAGAAAGCACTTGGAGCAGGTCGAGCACTGCAAGGCCACAGGAGAGCGCGGGGTTAGGCAGCTCGCCCGGGCGCGGTTTGCAGCGTACGCCCGCAGGAGACCCGCTCACCGCCTGTCCCTCCACCTGACGCTGACCAAGGCGAAATGCTGGTCGGTACTTGGGTCCACCAGCCAAAACGACGAGGGCTGCTCCTGCACCCCAAAAAACCACTTCCTGCGGCTCCCCGCCTTGCTAAGCGGAGCCAGGCAGGACGATGGGCACCACTCTCTAGGCCAGGCCTGAGCGCGGGATGATCCCCTCCCAAAAGCCCACCACCGCCTGCCCACCCCCCTTACCGCGTGGGGCTTCGGCGCGCCGTGCAGCTTTATCATGTGGCTCTGCAGGTCCTTCTTCTGCATGAACTGCTGGGCGCAGGAGGAGCACTGGAAGACAGGAGAGGAGGGTCAGCTTCCAGCCGCCCCCCAGATGGCGATTTTGGGGCGAGGAGAGGACCGGCAGCACGCCGGCGCAACGGGGAGGGGAGCGCCATGCTGGCGGGGAACACGAATCCCTGGTAAGGCCGCAGAAAGCGCCTGGCCTTGGTGCCTCCCTGCAGCAAGCTCCAGCTCAGAGATGGGAATGACCCTCAGCGGGCTGCTGCAGGCCGGGGAAGGGAGCTGGTGCGCTCGGCTCCCCGGCCAGGCTGCCCCGAAAGAGAAAGGCTCGCCCCCTCTTCCTTTGTGCAAGAGCCCAGCAGCCGGCTGTGGGGACGCCGAAGGGCGGCACGGCTGACCTTGTATGGCATCTCCCCCGTGTGCGACACCATGTGCAGCCGCAGCTCCATTCGCCTCTTGAACACCTCCTGGCAGACCGAACACGTGAAAACCTACAAGAGATGGGGGAGGCATCAGCTTCCGCAGAACCAAGAGTTCGATGTGACCCTGTGGCTCCGGCGCCAGGACCTGGGAACGATGTTTAACCCCCACCCGCAGCGATCTGGGTCTTTTACAGTACAAAGAGTACCCTCAGGTGCTTGAAAACGCAGACAAAATGTGAGTTGTCTGGCAAATCAACCAAAAGCTGCTGCCGTCCTCAGCAGCAGCAGGCTTGGGGGGGGCCCTGCCTGTGGTACACGTGCCGTGCAGCAGTGACGAGGGGTTTTTGTTCAGTAGCTGAGTGCGACGTGGCCTTTGGCTGGAAAAGCAGCACCCGCTTTCCAGGCTGCCAGCGACAGCCTCCCGGGCATACCTGCTCAGATCGGTTCATGCAATTTCTGGCTTCGTGTTCCAAGAGATTCTCTTTTCTAAAATAACATTTGCCACATTTGGAACATTCAAATGGCTTTTCTCCAGTGTGTTTCCTAGGGAGAATACAAATGGAGAGCATCCGTCACTGCCAGTCCAACAGCAGAGACACACGAACAGGCCTGGCAAGGGCACTGGCAAGGGACTGGGAAGGGAGAAGGCAGGACCTGGCAGCTTTTACGTCCCTCAGCGCCAGTATTCACCATCGCCCAAAACCCGCCTTTTCCCCCACCTCTGCTGATCCTGTCGGAGAGCAGTGGAGCTGCCGGTGCCTCAGTTTCACAGGGCTGCAGCTCGCCCCTTGCAGACGAGCCAGTGCCCTCCCTGCAGGCGCCCGCTTCGCCCTCAGTTATCAGCCCCGCAGCTCTCCTCACAGTGCCCGGCCACACCTGTGCGCTCCCCCCAACCCAGGCACGTCCCCCCCCCCCGCAGCCAGTGCCGATTTTGAAAGCCCAGGACAATTTGCCACCATCCCAGCGCATCCCCCAAAGGAGCCCCTCAGCGCTGCCTTTTTGAGCCAGGCTGCTCCAACCCCTGAGAGCCCGGAACAGTCGTTCCAGCTCTTGAAAGCGTTTTAGAGATGTATAAACCCCACCACCACCCCCCAGCTCAGAGCAACCCCTCCCCGGGGGGCAGAGGGGGCCTGCTGCTCCATGCCGGGAGATGCTGAGGCGTGGAGAGCAGCCGGCATGAGGCAGGGCCGAACACCCACCCACCGTGTAGGAGCCCCCCGGGGTGCTGGGGACGGTCCCTGCGCGCAGAACGGCCGGGGAAGGAGAAGCCAGAGCCTGTTTACCTGTTGTGCACTTTAAGGTAATATTTGCTGAGGAAGGTTTTACGGCAGGTGGGGCACTCGGCCGGCGCCGCCG